TATATTTAGGAAAAATATAATGTAAATCTAGAATTGTTGGATTGCAAAAATACTTAAGAAGCAAATATATGGAAGTAAATAACTATGGTTAGGACTTTACTTTATGAATTAGATCTCAACAATTAATTCTAAACTATGACATGTGTCTCCAATCCAAGCTAAAACTTAACAAAAATGAAGAGAAGAGAAATGGAGAGGAGCCGGATCCGTCTTCAACATAAACTTGGCTAAACATAATTCTTATTGAACAGCCTCCTTTTATAATTAGGTATGCTACATGCATGTAATTTTTAGCAATATCTGTTAATACTCATAAATACTTGGACTTTTTCTTTTTCAATATCGACTCTCATAATACTTCTAGCAAGTTACATGATTGAATAATTTTAGCACTAGAATTAATGATGGAGAGGTAAAATCAGTTTATTAATGACAAAATAGCCAAAGAGTAGCTAGCTAGTACATAAATCCTTTGTATGAAGTACAAAAACTTAAACCATTTAGGCGGTAATTATATCTTATCTGAAAGTTTCCCAAATTATATTAATTTCAGAATTTTCATTTGCCCAATACAAAGCAAACGATATATAAGTTATGTATCAGATATATAACTATAAATCATATTCATATAAATTTAGGTTTGAAATAATTGAGATTTGTATCAACAATAACATTTGTACTAGATACATTGTACACAAACAAAGTTGTAATGTATCTGATAAAGCTGGAGTCATGTATCCAGATGTTAAGAAAGAGAAGGAAAAATGAGATTTTTAATGGTAGGAATTTTTAAAAATTATGTTATCTTAAGTCGTGTGATTACTTAATTTTCCGCCATATGGCTTGGTCCATCTCAAAAGAGATCCTTATGTTAAGACACATGTCAACAATATAAAATATAAGGTTTTAAAATAATTTTTAAAAAATAAATTCAAAATAATTATTTTGTACTACTATCATTTTCAGATGGGATATATAAAGTATAGTGTAAATGGGATTCTAGCTTATCATCCAAGTCTTGGTCCATTGACTTTAATCATTCTCTGCATGTTGTACTGAACTATAACCTACCAAAAGATTTGCATGCTTCATTTTCCTTGTTTCAATTTATATAGTATAGTTTAATTAGTCAAAAGATCATTGCATTCATATAATTTTAAGACTTTAAAATTTATCGTCTGAAAATACTATAATATTTGTGTGCAACAAGGAAACATTGTAATGGTGCGTTCGGTATAATTCAATAATATGAATATATAATCAAATTCAAAATTCACTATGCAAGAAGAATTATAATTTAAAAATCATAAATTAAATTTTTTGCCTGTCTCTGTTTGTGTACTGGCCATAAAGGTGGTCATTAAGGATGAAATAAAAAGATACTCCATAAGTTAATTTTTATGTATATCAAAGTAACATTTTTTTCTTTTTTTAATCGAAGGGAGTAATAAACAGACAAACAAACAAAGTATTCCTGGATGTGTAAATTACTCCTACTCTGTATTGTTTTAATTAATTAATATCGTATTCTTTTGTAGGTTTGGTGCCAAAGAATAGTCAAAGTAATTATCTCACCTTTTTTCTTTTTATTTCTTATAATTTACATAAAATGCTTGGAATTTGGACTTTGGTCTTGACACTAAAAGATTTTTTTAATATCTTTGTTCTTGTACATGAATAATACATTTCACTTTGCAGAATTTAGCTTTTTCCTCCTATGACAATTTTAATTATTTTCTAATTTGGCACAGTGATCCCTTTAATATAAATTATAAAACATGTGATTATTATTTGAGCGATAATATAAAAAAAGAGCGGAATGAAGTGAGAGATCGGAGACAGGACAAATAGTCTAGTTGATCAGACTAGACGATTGGAATGAGCAAAATGAAATTAGGATGTGACTGAAAAAACCCAACTTTTCTCCCCTATTTGGAGGGTCTTTAATTTGTACTTAAATTGTCCTAATTATCAGACCTGCAGATACTATATTTTATTGCAACCATGAAAAGCACATTTGATTTGATTAATAAGGATAACCTCTATATATTGCTAATTAACATGACACCACATAAAGAAAGATTTAAAAAATGAGAGAATAATTAAGAAACTAATCATGAAAGTTAAACTTAATTAATTTCTGACTGTTGATGTTGTGTGTTCTTTTTGGGGGATGTTACAGCTCTTGACAATTAACTAAGATAATGGAGTATTTGTTATCACAATGAGAAGAACTTTAGTTAAATTTGAAAATTGTAAATATGTGGTTGGCTAAATCTTAGAGGGTAACAAGTCCTATCAAAATTACCATGCCTTTGGACCACATTTTTTAATTATTATTAATATGTGCATCTCAACTATTTCACTAGGCACGACTAGTTAAATAAATATCGTACAACTCTACTCATTAAAATTTAGGTACACGAAAAAAGAAGTTATTTTACTTCTATTAGGATTTGAAGAGTCTCCAAACAATGATAAATTTATCTGAGTGTAAATTATAGGATCACAATTTGAACAATTAGTTGACATTAATACTTACTTCCTCCGTCCATTTTTATTTGTCATGGTTTCTCTTTATAGAGTCAAACTATAAGAAATTTGACTAATATTTTATGATATATTTTTTCATCATATTAATATGCAAAAAAATTGCAATTTATAGTACTTTTCGTACAGTTTTTTAATATCTAATTTTTTTAAGATATCGAATTAATGTAATCTAATTTAATTTTTAAAATTAGTCTATTTGACTTTCGAAAAGCGCAACATGACAATTAAAAGTGGACGGAGAGAGTACATCAGAGTAGATTGCCTACATTCACCATCTTCGGGTGTGACTTATCCTTGAACCCTGTTGAATGTGTAATACTTCGTACATCGAGCTAATTTTTTTTCTTTTAATCTTTGTTATGATTTTTACTTTGCTTCAACACCGAATGACGTGATTTAGCGATTAATGAATGCGTACAAATTTTGAAATCAGACTTCAATATTTAATTGAGATGAAAATACTAATTAATTTCTTCTTATATCTGCTTAATATTAATAGCAAAGTTATTCAATATCAGATAAAAATAATAGATACTCGATGATCCAAACACCATCATTAAAAATATAAAAGATAATTTTCACTTGCTTCATTGACTAGAATTTCTTGATGGTTCTGTTACTTATTAGGGTAGGGTGGGGAGTTTGCTGTATATAGGGTGGGGGAATTAAAAAAAAATGGAAACAAGAAAAAGAGGTAAAAATGCATGAAAAGCAAAAGATGATTTCAATGATTAAGAAAAAAAAAGTAATTTAAACCCTGCTTTTTATTTTCCCTGCCTTTTATTTTCTGTACATTTTTAATATTTTCATATTCAGATAATAATCAGCTTGTGTTTTTTTATTAATACAAAAATCCTAAATATTTTCTAATTTCATGTGGTAAAGGTAAACTAATCTGAAACGTAACGTGTCATAGTATATGAAGCAACTAGCTGTAATTTCCTTTAATTATACCTTAGCTTCAATTGGAATATACTTGAGGTTTTAACTTTTTAGGTTTATTAACCTTTAACATTTATATTTAAAAGAAATAGTATATTTTATATGATTTATTAACTTATTTATACAACAGATTTTTATCTTAATTTTGAACGTAGTTGGTCAATTAAATTGAGATAATTGATGAGCTTAAATGAAATAATATTGTTAGCAAAAGTTATACAGCAGACTTCAATTTATTTATAATTGACGCATAACAATGGTTATAATTGTATGTCCTATATCAATTTAGAGGATTATCTGATTTTTTTTTAAAAATATTCTCACTCCATAATCAATCTCATCTTCAATGGTCCAACAAAAAAAAATTCATTCGTAGAGGCTCAAACTTGAAATATCTAATTAAGAGTGAAAAAATCTTAATCATTCTATCGCAATCTAGGTTAATCTATGTGTGACTATTTGTTATTGATTTAAACCAATTTAGTAGTGTGGGACTGTGGGTATGTTTTATTTATCGTTTGACACAACCAATAAATTGTATTTATAAAATATTAAGGAAATTAATGAAGCTGACATATATCGAAAGAGAAATTAGGACAATGATGTTATGTGCCACTATTGTAAACAAATAACAATTAATACATTCCCTAAATTTGGGATATAGAAATGTATACTTTTGTATCCTAAAGTATGATTGTATTAATATATCTTAGCTTTATTAATTATTACCATATGAAAGTCTTATTCAATCCCATGTTTATAATTAAATGCTTCAAATGTTCATGTTTCTCTCAACTATATAGTAATGTAGGCAGGGGCAGATCTATAGTATTGAACTATTGATCATATCACACAATATTTTTTTCTTAGACTTGATATTTATAATTTCTTTTAAAATAAACACTCATTCAATATATATATATTATAACAAAAATAAGTTATAAATTTGATACAAGTTCAGAAATTATAAACTAATTCGAATGTTGACTCTACTTCTGAATGTCTATATGTATATAATCTTATCTATGTTATAAATGATTGATTCAACAATTTGAGTTTGTGATTTATGAAAGATAATTTTATTATTGTTCGAAGGCTCACGAGCCATATATATAAAAAAGGAAGAAATATCCTTGTCTCATTGGATAGAACAAAAAAAAAAAAGGAAAGTGATTAAATTATTCACGTGTTCTTTTTTTTTTCCAGAGAATATAATCTCTGATTTGCAGAAGAATTAAAATATTTTATTTACTAAAAGAATTATATAAAACCTGTCAAACGTCGTGCGTAAAATGATAAATTCCACATGATTCCATGTTTCACTTTCTTCCATTGTTGGTAAATTAGGATTCCCCTAAAAAAAATTACCAAAAGAAGAAACCTAAATTATATTCCCCTGAGTCCCTGACAATTTATTTATTTATCAGTCACTGAAAAACAATAATCAAGAAAATAATTTATTCATCAGTTTATTTACAATGCCATAACATAAAAGATGACTGTCAATTCCGTACTCATTTATTCTATTTTGTTACATAAAAAAAAAGATTAGAAAAAATTTAAATCATTCAAAAGTTACATGACTTAAAAATGTTAAAAAGAAAAAAATTCAGATTCCTTATCGCACCTTCTCAAATCTTCTTTATGCTTGTTTCTTTCGCTTGCTAAAAAGTCGACACATTGATTTGTCACTCTTCATGTATGTGTAATTGTATAATTCTGAGCTTTAGATAAATAATTGCAATCTTTAATAATAGTTTTTAAAGAGTTACGTTATATAAGCTTGAAAACAAGTAGACAATCGTTTCCAACATCATTGGCTTACTGTAACCTTTTTTTGATGCTCCATAGTTCTGTGACGGCTCCATTGTTGTAATTCCCACAAATTGAGATCTTTAGCATTCATGCATCAGTTCACTTTTCGTCAAAAAATTATATTATTACAGCTGTGGGACTTCGAGTGCGGTTTCATGGCTGTAATCCCACAAATAGAGATCTTCTTGAGGCCAAAATTCACAGTAATTAGAATCATTGCTTACAGCTCCAGCCAAATCCCATGTTGAATTATAGTAACAAAATTTATCAAATTTTTGAGTAAGATCCAGTAGAAGATCAGGCAAATCAAGAAAAGGATCCTCATTATTACTCCTCAAAGATGAAGACGAAGATGAAGATGATGATTCTGTTGACTCTGTTTCTTCGGGAGAACAGAGCATTTCCATTAACTCACATTTACTCTGTTTTTCCATAAAATTTCTTGGTGAAATATTCAAAGCTGCAGCCTTTGCGGCTGCAGATTGAATATCTTTAGCGCATTTCGAAGCTGGTTTAGGAAACTGATGAGCTAATTCAGGGAAATTGAGTAAAGCTAAGTCACCTTTAATGGCAATTGCAGCTACATCATGTGCTCTGGCAGCCATTTCAGCAGTAGAAAAAGTACCAAGCCAAATTCTTGATTTTTTCCTCGGTTCGCGAATTTCAGACACCCATTTACCCCAGCTCCGTTTTCGAACACCGTGGTAAATTGGGTGTTTTGAGTCATCAATTTTCTTGGTTTTTTCTGTACTGGATTTGATTTTCTTGTTGTGATTGCTTTGTTGTTTTGATGGTTTTAAGGTTATTGATCTTTTTGTTAGAGATGAAGAAGGGATTGTTTGATTGTTGTTGAAAATAATGGGAGATTCATCTTTTTCTTCCATGGAAGTTTTCTTTGAGTTAAGTGAAAAACATGAAGAGAGGCTTCTTATAGTGTTTTTGGTTCTTGAATTCATTTGGCACTTTATTTATCTTTTTTCCTTTAGATGGAATAATACAAAGAAAAATAAAAAAAGTGAAAGCAAATTAATTTATTTGTACTACATTTCTTTTTAGTTTCGTTTTAAAAAGTTACCTTATCCAGAATAGTCATTCTTCATTATGGGCTCGAAATAAGCTATTTCGAGATTAGTTATCTCACTTTTAATGTAACATAAAAGTTACATTACAATTTTAAGATAACTTGTTCTGTAATTTTATATTAATCAAACATGGAATAAATACATCTTATTTCCTTAGTATTTGGTAATCTTAGCGTCTTCGCCAGCAGACTTTTTACTGTTAATGCAATACTCTCAAACACTTCCTTAAAATGCTTTAGTTTATTTTAAAAAAAATCATTTTCCAAAGTATATTAAATTCATCGAAAGTACCATAATCATATAGAAAACTAATTAGTATCTTAGTATATGATATTTGACATAATGATTACGTGGTATTACAATCATAAAATAGCTCTCCAATGATAATTCTTCTGTGTTACATGAGTACGTAGAAATAACTTACTGTATAAGAATGGACTTGCATAGTAGATGTCACAAAACAAATTACTTTTCCATGTGGTTTTTTTTTTTCATTCAATATCCGCAGCCTGCATTAAAGCTTTACTAACACAAAGTGAAATATTTGTCCTTTCTTAGTCACCCATGTTTTTCACAATTTGTCATCGTAACATTTCTAAATGTTTTTTAAATGACAAAATGTTAATGTTTTTTAAAAACTTTAACTTGTGTCTCACTACTTTAAAAAAACGTTAAAAACCAAGAGACTCCATTTTATTTTAATGATTTTTTTCTTAAAGAAAATTGATGAACATCAAAAGATTATTTTTCTCGCAAAGTATAAGGAAATTATAAAAAAAGTTTTTTGAATTTAATTTTAATTAAACTGTCGGAGTTCCTCAGTTTTTTAAGGTGCAAAATTACAGTTGAGGAGTACAATTAAAACTACATAAATATTTCATTAAATAGCATATGTGGTCTAGTGGTAAAATCAATACTCCCTCAGTTCCTTTTTATATGTCACATTTTTACTTTGTACTTGCATATGTAAATGATTAAACATTACCCTTCTACCCTTATTTAATTTTTTTGGAACTCAAGTTTTCAATCAATGAATATGAATTAATTTATTTTGATTAATTAATTTAACCAAAGAACATGAATCATTTATTTAGCTTTTTTAAGTTGATCAAATGTATATTTTCAAGGCTAATTCATTGATTTAAGTAAAAAAAAAATAGATCGTTTGTTGGTTTTTACCCGATTTTCAATCTACTTTTTGTAGTTTCTCTTACCCCTTTGGTTGTGATATTTCCTTTAAGCATTTTAGGGATAGATGGGCCAAATTCATCCTAGTCCATAGATACAATATCTTAGTAATCAATAAAGAAAACAAAGTTTGAAAAAAAAAGAAACTAAATATTATGAATAAAGAAAACAAAGTATTTTATTTATTAAAAAGAAAAAAGAAACTTTGGTGCTTTTTATTAGGTGCTTTTTGGGCACTTCAATATGTTTGGATGCCCAGTTTTAGTGATGGTGATTGATTGAAGCTTTAACTAGAACTATTTTACTTACCACACTGGAAAATAATTTTTATAGAGTCGTTTAATTTGAAGACAAGTTATATTGAGATTAACTATATTGAAATTAATTTCATTACATAGCTTTAAAAAAAAAATCAATTATCAATATGAATTATGTTTACATAATCATCTCATTACCTTGATTTTAAGCTTATTTGAAGATTTAATGTATGACACACTATCATCCATAATTTATGATTATCAAAATCCACTGATTTCTCATTTTCAAGGTACGAATAAAAGTAACTAGCTAATAGACGGGCAAAAACAATAAATCGGACTTCAAATTAATCTTCCCCACATGAAGCACGAGTTAAGAGAATATCATTAATTATCTATACGCAGTAGATATTAAAATTACTGAGGCATTATGACATTTTGACTTAATCTTTTACTAAAAATGTTAGTCTAAAATCTTAATCATGTCTTTTGCTTTTGTGCCTTTTGACTTCTTCTTTTTTTTAATATCATTACATGATCTTTCATTTTTCACTTTTTTGTTTTTTTTGTGGTTGTGGCTACAAACTTGGAACAGGAGCAAAGCACAAAGATTAAAAAAATCTAGATTGTGCATGGATGGTGTTGTATTATTACTGGTCTTATATATTAAGTCATCATTGGACTAATCACCATTCAAACTTTTTAACTACTTTTAATTTATTACCATGTAAACTATTTTTTCCCAAGTATATATAGGAGCTAGGAACTATATAAGAACAAAAAAAATCAATGGAGAATGACTATCGAACCTATAATTATTGCGTAAAAAATTATTTGTATATAATGTTTCTATCAAGCAGTCAAGCTAATTAGTACATAATATGTGTTTGTACATAAACTCTCAGCACTTAATTATTAATTAATGAAAGGTAGGGGTCGTTTGGTTTGCACAATAATTTCATTTTCTTGTTTATTTACTGAAATCTTACCACCATAAGTGAAAGGTAGGGGTTGTTTGGTTAGCGGACTAATATATCCTATGCCTAGCAAATGGAACAAAATAATATATTCATTATTAAGTTTTGGATATATAAAATTGATATTTTTATTTGATTGAAGGTATAAATTTATAGATATCCCATCCCACCTTACTCTATGATCAACACAACTTCTTAATGCTCCTCCTTTTTGTTAGAGTACTACCTACTCATTCCATTCGTTTTTACTGGTCCACTAAAATAACATAATTTTTTTCATGTTTTATCCTTAACGTACGTTAACTACTTATTTTTCAAATCATTTCTCAAGATTTAAGACAATATTAATTAATATGATTATTGTGGTAAAATACTCAGGATCGTGCAAAATTCAAAGTAGACAAGTAAAAGTGAACAGAGGGAGTAATATTTAACACCTTACAGTTCACTTTCAGGAGTTCCATAATCTTATTCAAATAAGTTTGTAACTCAAGTTTATTGTCCACAATACAATACAATACAACAGTTGTAGTTATATATCTGTTTTCTGCAATTCTTCATTCACAATCTAGCAGTCTGCAGTTGCTGCTTGAGTAGTGGCCTGATATATTCATCGAAGCCATCGGGTACATCTGATTCGTTGAGAGGATCCTTCCACGCAGCCTCATACAGTTTTGGGTACACATTTCCATCATAACGTCCAAGAATTGAACCAAGGAAATGATCGGTATGGTTAAATGCATCAGCCAACGATACAGCATTTGGACGAACCTGATCATATTAAAGAGTAATATATACATCAATACAAAAAATTATCCACCACAACAAATTAAACAGGAATGACAGATAACAAATTCAACGAGACGAACCTGAGTATACAAGGCCCTGAGCTGCTCATTAGCAAATAACCCCTGCTTTGAGGTGATGTAGCCAGTCGCGAGGAAATCTCCTTGATGTTTGTGAAGTAGGAAGAGTGCATAGATGCTACAAAGCACCTCCAGCTGTTGCTTAACGCCTTCCCCTGGAATGTCTTGTTGCAGCTTTTCGATAAACCTTCAATGAGATGAAAGACATGTAAGAATTAACAATGTTCTCAACATATATATATCCAGGTGATCAATTTCCCAATATCGCGAAGCTTACTTGGAGACAACAATCAACTGAGAATGAGCAAGTGCTGCTTCAACTAAATCAGGTGCAAGTTCTTGAAAGCCTAGTGAAAAGAGGGTAAAGCAAGGAAGTTCTTTAACCTATACTCGATCGATAATCAAACTTTTACATTGAAGAAGACTTAAAAGTGAGTACCTTCTTCTGGATTATCAAACTTGGTAAGACTCTGAGCACAGGCAACAGACATCCTGGCAGCCCTTGATTCAAATGCTTCCAATATTGCACTAGGTTTCAGCCAGTCCTTGGCTGCCGAAGATGGAAAACAACCACAACTAATGATTTACTTTTACGCGGTTGATGTTATGCAAGTTAAAGGATTTACCTTGTTCCACATCAGAATGGCATTGCATCAAGTGTTCAATTTTCCCCATATAAGTTATGGTACCCGTTGGCTTCTTTCCGGAGCTCAGCTGTGAAACAGTTTTCATAAGAAACCTTGCAACCTACATGAAACACAACATGGTTCATAGTGGAGTGTTAGATCTAAGAAAGCACTTGGAAACGCGTATATATGTCAAACTTCATATGAAAATTAGTTTTTACCTGAAGCAGTAGCACGACGTTATCTCCTTCAAATGTACAGGCAGGGACATAAACGGCATATAATTCTGGAAGTCCACTGCTACAAAGATAACCATGACCTCCACACAACTTTCGGCATTCTTCAATTCCATCCTGGAATAAAAATTGCATTCAGGCAAGACACTAGTTATGTTAGATGGCGCGATATTGTATTCAAATCAATAGTCAGAGAATTAAATTGTCACTACTCACAGCAGTGGCAGTGGTTGTCAAAGACTTTATTCCTGCTGTAGTCGCGTGCAACTCAGGCAGCGTTGAGAAATCATTTGCTTGCAGTCTTTGAGTTACATCAGTGTAAAACCATTTCAGCCACTCACCAACAAATCTGAAGGCATATGCAGAAGCTAACAAGGGGAAGAGCCTGCTTTGTTGAGTTTTGTAGTCAATCACCTGCATAAACGCGTGTAAGTAAGAGCATTGATCACAACTCGATGACTAAGTGCAGTCACCAGACACTATTACTTGACTGGGAAAAACATAAATTGTCCAATATGAGTATGCTATAAATGGAATGCAGGAACAAAAGATCAGAACTAAATTACCTGAATTTCTTGTCCACCATTTTGAGAACCAAATTGTCTACGAACAGCACTATATCTCGTTGCAATACACACTGCCCGAGACAAAG